TTCCAAGATGAATCTGTTTGTTTTCCTGGCAGTCCATGGTACATTCAGTACTCTTCTCCAGCACCACAGCTCAAAAGCATCCACTCTCCTTCTGTCCTCCCTAGTCATTTTCCAACTCTCTGATGCATAACAAGCGATTGCAAAGACCATGGCCTGTATCAGGCGCACCTTAGTCTCCAGTGGATTAAAGAAAAGAGGAAGTGGACATTGTAAGAGGTATTAGTTTCTAGGAATGTGAAGGCACATGTCATTTGAGTACCTTTGTGTATGTACAGTACTCCTTTCAATTGTTAGAGCAAATGATTTTGTTTTTCCCTAGTCATTTCTCACCATTGCAGTATGTGCTAAATATGACTAATATGCTTCTGAGGAATCATTTCATAACAACATTCATTTTGTGTTACAGGAAGATTGTTTCAATCTTTCACTTGCTTTTGGAAACAATCTAAGTGCTCATCAACAAACTAATGGATAGAGAAGCGGTGGTATATTCACACAATGGAATACTACGCTGCACTGAAAAACAAGGAACTCATGCAATGTTATTCAAAATGGGTGACCCTGGAGGACATTATGCTGAGTGAAATAACTCAGTCACAAAAGGACAAATATTGCATAGTGCCACTGTTGTAAAACAGGACTGACATCGGGGTTGGGGGAGACTAAGAAAGATGGGATAAATAATGTATACTGCATTGAAACAGATGAGGGAGAAAACTGTTTAAAAGGGATGTATAATTAGGTATTATTGTCATGACAGGAGTCCAGAGCAAAGGCTGCATAGTGGAGTGGACCTGGGGGAAGGGATTGTAAAACAATGAAAGAATTTTTCTTTTACTTTTCAAAGAGAAGAGTGAACTGGGAGGGTGGGGTGGGCAGGGAGAAAACTGCGACAATGAATGACTGGGAATAAAAAAAAAGCCTTGTAAACCTGATGGAGGGCTACTCTGACTGGAACTCTGGCAGTGAGTGAATTATGACATTCAAATTAAATAATGTGTATAAAGGAACAACAACAAAGATCGCATTCATAAGTTACTCTTTCCTTGCTAGGACATTTGTTTCAATTATCAGGCAGCTGTCCTGGTGGTATTCTGTAAGACGCCTTGAGGAGGGCCACACCTGCCTCATCACGGTACATGTAAAGCGGATGAGCTGAGCAGCTGTGCTGTTGGTGCACCTGAGGGTGCTGAGCTGGGAAGGCAGGTGGGCCCAGTGAACCAGGAGTCAGCTCACACCTTCTGAGGTCAGGAAGCCTCTCCAAGAAATAGGTGCCTCTATAGGTTTGGAGAACGCTTATTGATCATATATCAGCTACTCACGATTTGACTAAAACTGTCTTATTCCTCCAGATTCCTTCTGTCCTGTTCTTTAGTCTAAACTCTTTTTCTATTTCTGCACTTTCATTATTGCTGCTCTTTCTTCACAAAGTAGGAAAAGAACAAATAAAAGTTGAGTAAGGGTCCTCCCCGTCCCATTTCTGGGACGTTACTCTTTTAGCAAGAACTTCCAATTGATTTCACAGCAAATACTTTTTTTGGGGGGAGGGGGGTAAGTAGAGTACTTAAATAGTTTAACTTCAGCCAAATTATTTATATTTTATGTGATTTTCACTTAATTATATTATATAAGACATGAAATTCTAAATGCTCAAGCTTGCCTGTGTTTGAAAGATACTTTTCAACCAACTCATTGTAAATTAGACTTCACTCAGGATACACAGAAGCAACATTTCTTTACCTCTACGTCATATTTATATTATAATTATAGTTACCTGACTTGACCATTGGAACTCGCAGGGCAGAGGAGAACTGCCTTGTGAAGCTTCCACTGTGAGAACTCTTCAGATGTGCAATTGGTAAGTACATTCTATAACAAAGCAGGAAATGCCAAAACTATTACTAATACTGCATTCAGTTATTATTCAGTGTTCAGACTGCACTTAGCATTTTGCAATGTAAATAGAAAAAAAAAACCCAACACCCCAGTATGCCTTCTTCCAGTGTTTCTGCAATAGATGACATAATACAACTTTTATTCTGCTTAAGGTAAAAATGGAAGCTCTGAACCACTCACATAGTGAGTATCCTTAACAATTTCCCCTATCACATCAGTCACCTCCAGGGAAGATGCCAGCTTAGTCACTTGGAGAACACTCACTCACAATCAGGTTAATCTGAAGTCACATATGAAATTGTAGAAAAACTAGGAATCCTAAGAATAAGGAGAAAAAACACTATACAGGTATTTACTCTCCAACTCTTAAGGGAAAGCTCTCATTCTCTTTCTCTCTCTCTCCCACCCTCTCCTTCCCCCTCCTTCTCTTCCTCTTCCTCCTCTTCCATATCTTCTTTTTCCTCTCTGTCTGTCTCTCTCTTTGCCATCAAGTCAGAACCAAATTCTATTCGAGCCTCTAGCAGGTTTCCAGGGCCTGTAAATTGCACAGGAGAATGTTGCCCATCTTTCTCCGACAGAGCAGCTGGTGGATCCAAATCACCAGGCTTGGAGTTGACAGTGTAACTCCATACCCACCAGATCATCAAAGCTCCAGGGAAAAGACAAATGAAGCCATAAATAGATTCATTGTTGTTGTTGGTAGGAATCCTGAAGCGGACTCCGATCATTGTGACCATTTGATACCAGAATGAAATCCTGCCGTGATCCTTTGCCAACCTCTCCATCTCCGCTCTGTTCTCATGAAGCCCATTTTTGCAGTTACTGTCACTCCGTCTCACTAAGAAAGTGCAAACTCACCGAAAAGGTACCCTGTCTGTCTACAGGTTGAATTGATGGTTCTCTATTTCTTTCAGGATGAAATTCAGCTCCTCCTCATGGTTTACAATAAGCCTGCTTTTCTCACTCAACTCTCTGCCACAAGTGTTCTTTCTTAGTTAATCTGAAGGAACCTTTTTCATTTTCCTTAGCCTGGGACGTTCTCACATGGCTCTCCAAAACTTTACATTATATTCTGGCTGTGTTTGAAAGAGAGAGACAGAGAGACAGAGAGACAGACAGACAGAGTTTGTGTAACTCCTTCCTATCCTGTCCATTTCCTGTCTTGAGTCTTACCTTAAGTATCTTTGCTTTTGTAAAATTTTCTGTATCTGAATGAAATTTGTTGCTCTAGAATTTAACACCTCATCCTTTCCTAGTTTCCTAGCAATGAGCTGAGAGTGGGTGGGGTCTAGGATCTGAATCTTCTTTCTTTCCTTTCAGAAAAGCCCCAAACCACTTCTTTCCAAAGGTTAATCAGTTGAGGTTGAAGGAAATTTCTAAAGACTATTCCCAGAGTCAAGGGTGGAGGTGAGGAATTGGAAATTGAGAGGTGACGACTTGCAGTGGGGGAGGTGTTTGAAGGCTTTTGGCAGAGGTGGGAGGTTTTTTTGTTTTTTTTTTTTTTCTTAGGTGGGAGGTTTTTTTTACCAGGAGGTGAGACCCAGAGGTGACAGGGTGCCTCAGAGATGGGGTTAGGGAACTGAACTGTGAGGCTAATGGATTTCAGGAGAGCTTCAGATTCTAGGACTGAGATAAGAAGTCTATTGGGATGATTTGAGAGGGGTGAGTGAAGGCCAAGGAGTTTTCTCTGATGAATCTGGATTATCTGAGTGTTCCAATTTTGGAGCTGGTACCTTTACTTTGAGGAACACCAACATAAGTAGAGACAGAGTTTCCTTCTAATCCAGTACATTGTGGTCTCATTCCCTCATCACTTTGCAGTAGAGTCAGAACTGGTTCACAGTTGCACCTCTAGCAGGGTTTGGGAGGTTGCAAAGCATTATGGGAGGAGATTCCCCATCTTCTTCCAAACCCCCACCCTCACTCCCAGTTCCTGGTGGAGTCAAGTCACCAGAATCTACACCACCTTTGTGTTAGCTGCCAACTCCCCTACAGACTAGGCCACCAGAGCTCACTTAGGTTACAGCAAATGGTTCCCAACGAAAAACAACCACCAAGCACACCTGATGTGCGCATTCGGACTCCTAGGACAGGGAACTGCCCCGTGGAGTTTCCACTGCTAGAACTCTTCATGGATGCAGACTGCCTCTTCAATCTTCCTTGGAGGGACTGGCATGAGCGAACTGCGGAGCTTTTGTTTAGAAGCCAAGTGCTTTAAGCACTGAGCCCACAGGACTCCTTAGTGCCACACAGGGGCCTCCTTCTGTACTACAGACTAGGGAGAGCCGGGGAGGGGAAAGAAAGTGTATCCTCCATCAACCAACACCATACAAACACGAACTCAAGAATTTCAACCCCAGAACCACACATTCTTCGATGGCTCACATCGAAAAGAAATCTGACTGTTGGATTTTAAAAATAAATGGTTATACAGCAAAATTTCTTTTATTTATGAAGTGGATTGATTCAGTGACCGGGGTAATCTGGATGGTTGTGTCGGAGGCAGTGTGATTGGCACAGGATTGAGCAGGGTTTGGGGCTGTTGTACATGGGGTCGCTATGAGTCACAAGCTACTGACGGCACATAACAACAACAACAACAGTGCAGAAATGTTGACTTACTGACTCTACTTGAGACAAGTTTCCTTTCAGTTCTTCTTGGAGAGATAAAAGTACGTCCTATTTTCAAGTTGGAGACTTTACTTCCAAGATCTTGGTTAGGAGCTGAAGGGCGGGCAGCTGATCCGATCACGGGGTGCTGCTGGCACCCAGAAGGCCCGTGTTGGGACAGGGATCCCTAAAGGCAGGCCCGGGTGGCGCGCTGAGAAGGCGCTCTGGGCGCAGGGGCGTGGGCGCGGGCGGAGGGCGGGCCGATCCAGCCGAGAGCCCTGCGGCCGAGCAGCGAGGGCAGGCTCGGGCAGCTTCCCTGCAGCTCCCGCGGTGATAAAATTGGAGAAACAACTAGGAGGGGCCGATCACCGCTGTCTTCTGGAGCCCATCCGGTGGAGAGCGCACAGGCTCCGTAGGTGAGCGCGGAGCCGGCCGAGAGCAGTCGCCGGGAAAGCGCGTCCAGCGCCGCCGCAGCCCCGCGTCCCTGCGACCCCATGGCCCCCGCCGGACCACCCAGCGCCCTGTGGGCGAAGCTGCTGCTAACCCTGTCGGTGAGTGGGAGCCAGGATGGGAAAAGAGGGCTGGATCTGACCTGGGCAGTGCCAGGGACCTGGAGAGCTGAGACAGCAAGGTGGACTCAGCTCAGTGCCCCCTAAACCTAACCTTCCTCCCATAGAATCAAGAACCTACAGAACCTACGAGTAGTTGACCCTCCAGTGATTTTCGAGAGACTATAATTCCCAAGGAAGGAAATTACCCATTGTTGTTGTTGTTGTTGTTGTTTTCCTGCAAAGCCACTGGCGAATTCGAACCACCGAAGAGGCACACCGCCTTTGAGATAGCAGTGCAACGGTCTGGTACCCTAAATTTGAATCAGAAGGTGTGAAGAGAGAAAATGAACCTTTAAGGGACAATTGAGTGCAGGTTTCCATTTGGGCCACCGCCTTCAATTGTTTGAATTGCTTGACTCACCCCTGTGTCTCTGAGCGCCCATGGGCACCATGGCGAGCGGACCTGGCATTGGGTTTCGAGCTCCTCACCAGACTTTTGGGTGGCGAGGGAAGAGGAGCACTTGTTGGCCAGTTATCTCAGGAAACCTGAAGGGGGCGGGGGTGGCTTTAGCAAGACAGATTATGAAGATGGCACAGGAGAGGTCAGGGTGCAGATCTGTTCATAGGGTCGCTCGCTGCGAGTCTTAGTAAACTATCGCCTCTGACATGAACAAATGGAGAGCGTAGACATAACAGCTTCAGAAAGCTGTCCTCTTCCCCTCACTTCTCCTGGGATCTGGCTGGCCTGGTTGGAGGACATTAGTGAGGAGAGAAGTCATAGAGGCGCCACTGCACCCAAGCGTGGGAAATATACTTCCTGGCTGTGGTTCATGTCAGTTATTTCACCTGGGAGTTGTGACTAGGGCGTCTGAAACAGGAGGCGGTGGGTGGAGAATAGGATTTGGGAGGCTTTGAGGACAAAGGTCAGGCACAGCTGGAGTGGAAGTTAGGGCCAGTTCTCACTGAATCAGGGAGACCAGGAGTCAAAATTTGGGAACCGTGAACTGGAATGATGCACCATTTTCAAATGTACCCAGGCTTGTACATCAGATGTGCTACAAGGAGCTCTTTCATGCATGTCCTTGTCCTTACCCTCCAGGTTGGACATAGGGTCTCCTGGGCTTGAGGACTATGTCCAGCTCAGGAGAGGAGTCACTCTGGTCGCAGAACCACTTATTGGTGCCTCAGCGGCAGGATGGCTGACTCTACCCTTCTGCTCCCTTTGAATCAATGAGTTATTAGTGTTAAATTTGTAGTTATGATCCATGATCCTTCGGCTGACAATGAATTGTACAAATACATTGACCTACCTGCTAGGTTCCCACAGAAACCTGAGATGATGAGATGCATCTTTACCAAAGGGAACTTAGGATAAAACGCTTTCTTCTTGATACATACTAAAGCACCTGCAGGATTTCAGTTTGAAAGGCCTGTGCTTAGGGTTTTCTGTTTACTCTGTGAAGTAGACTGGGAAATGGGAAACGGGGAGAAGAAACCGTCAAAGACGGTAGCAGGTAGGTTCCCAGATTTCTCATATTTGCTTCAGGGGAGGGTGTTGGAGACTAGTGGGAAACAGAACAGTGAGAGGGGAAGCAGAAAGTAGGGTGTGGCCAGACAAGATAGTGCATGAAACTCTAAATAGAGATAGCATCATCTCAATTTCTAGGCCATACACAGTTAAGATCATCTTTTACAAGGGAATCTCTAAGGTTAAATCAAATTCCATATCTTGAAATATCCTTAGAAAGGGACGTCATGCTTGGGATGGTGGAGGGACAGCATAGGAGGGGAAGACCCTCTATGAGGTGGATTGATTCGGTGACTGGGGTAATCGGGATGGGTGTGTCAGAGACAGTGGGATTGGCACAGGACAGAGCAGAGTTTAGGGCTGTTGTACATAAGGTCTCTATGAGTTGCAAGCGACTCAATGGTACATAACAACAATATATCAGGAGATACTTGACTACTTCTGTGTGTGTATAAAACAAGAATCTATGTTGTTCCCAACCCTTAACTTACAAGTACTCTTACTTTCTCTTCAGGTGGTTAAGTTAATAACTCTGTTGACTAGTCTGTGCCTGCATCTCCTTTTGATTTGGATGCCTGGCAACTTTTCATTAGAATATTTATGACGCGGGGTTTTAGAGACACACCTTTATTTTATGGAGACTTTCATGGATCTCTCCAGAACAACAGCCTTTTTTCAGAAGAGATGAGTTGAAAATTTAGAACATCTTATCCTTCCATGTGAGCTTTAGTGTTGGATATCTTCCCAATTTTCACATTTTGTCTCCTGCCTTCCTTCTCTGTGCTTCCTTCCCTCTGCATGGTTGCCCAGTCTATCCAAGGGGACTCCACGTGCATCAGAGAACAACTGTGTGCTGTTGAGTTTTTTAGTGGCTGATTTCCTGAAAGTGGATGCAAAGCCTTTTCCCCGTGTTGCCTGTGGGTAGACTTCTATTCACAGATTACTAAAATTAACTTGTTTTAGCACACGGAGCCCAGAGCTGCGCCCTTTTCCCTGACTACTTGAATTGCAATACCTTCCCAGCCTACCTTCTGGAATCCATGTTGTTACGAAACCAACTCATAGCTGACCCTCCAGCAGATTTTGATACGCAGGACATCTTACAGGAAGCAATAGCCCATCTTTCACTGCCAGAGTAGCTAGTGGATTTGAACCCGTTTCTCTTTGATTTGGTAGCACAGCTTCCTACCACTAAGCTGCCTGACATCCCTCTGGAGTCCTTGGGAGGCACAGATAGTTAAGTACCCTGGCAATTAGCCTAAAGATTGCCAGATTGGACTCACCGAAAGGGGTCTTGCAAGACAGTTCTGTCAATTTGCTTCTGAAAGGCCACACCCATGAAACCCCTGAATGACACCAAAAGACAACCTACTTCTATTACCTTCTTGCAGGAAAAGAAAAGAAACAGGGAAAGCTAAAGAAAGGTCACATTATATTTTCAATGAGATGGTTGCCATTGCAACAATGAGTTTGAGCATGGTGGAGATTGTGAGGGTGAGTAGGGTAGGGCAACAAGGTTCAGCCTTAGGATGGGGTCGCTATGAATTGTAGTGGATGGCGCCTAGAAGTAACAGTCTACAATTTTTGATAGGGCGTGTGTCTAGTAGAGGTTTTCTGGTAGAGTGACAGAAATACTTAGGAATGGCAAATTTGCCATTAGTTTAGATGTTGAGTTTTCTGCCCAGTTAAATGATTGAAGTTCTTTTTAATATGTGATTTAATGTGTTACATATTAAACTGTTCAATATTATCAAATGAGCCGTTGAAATGATTATACATTATATTATCTATTATAAATGGTGGGCCCAGGTGTGTCAGAGTCAGTGAGACTGGCCCAGGCCAGGCCAGGCCAGGGCAGGCTTCAGAGCTGTTGTACATTAGGATCGCTGTGGGTCATAGGTGACTTGATGGCACATAACAACAACAATAACAGTTGAATTCTATTCTTTCTCTAAAAGGCTGTTAATGAAAGAACTAAAATAATGTTTTCCTATTTATCTTATAATTTTGGGGAGAAAACCCACAATTCTTTCAAATCTGCATTTCAAATCCAGTGTTACTGTTGTAGCCTGTCAAGTAGAACTGACCCACAGCTGACTTCTGGGGAGCAGCAGGTAGATTCAAACCTTGTACCTTTGCATTGATAGAGAGAGCTATTCTTTACCACTATATTATATTCTTAAGTCACTATAATCCAATAATAATAATCCAATATAATAAAAAACTCCATTGAAGAATATGAACTTTACCTGGAACGTATGATGGCAAAAGACCTTTAATAATTACCATATCCATAGCATTACTTGATGAGAATAATGTGATTTCTTTACGTTGGAAAGGAATTTCTGTTCTTTTTGTATTTGACATCTTTTTTTAGAGGAAAGAAAATGCAATAAATTCTATTGTCTTTTATATTAAAGAAAAAATTATGATAAAGGAGTGAAATAAGAACTGATTTTTGGAAAAACGATTCTGTGTGGTGTATTAAGGATCCCTGGTTGTGCAGTGTGTAAAGTATGGGTCTGCAACCCAAAAGATCTTCTGCTTTGTATAAATAAGAAAGATGGGCAGTCTTCTCTGGAAAGATTTATATTCTTAGAAACCCAATGGAGACTCGCTCTGATTCACACTCAGTTCCACAGCTTCGAGTTAGTCTTGATCTGTGCTACATTAACTGCCTTTTAAAATATGAGGTTGGTGATGGGTACTGGAGCACGTTCTGAATTCCTAAGTAAATGTAGATGTATGCACAGTTTTGGCTCCTTTTTCAATTCTCTTGACAGTTGGGCCTCTATCTCTGGCATTTATTGTACTTTTCATTCAATGAGAATGTCCCACCTTATAACAGCTGGTTGATAGGAAATTTACCAGAATTATCTATGTACAGAGTCTACAGAGAACTAAGTACTTAAAATTTACCTTTAAAGTGGTTTGAGTTTGAGTTTCAATTTGTTTCTGTTTATGTGCTGTCGAGTCAGAACTGACTCATAGCTGACCCTCCAGCAGGTTTTCAGAGGCAGTAAATCTCACAGGACATGGACCATATTTACCCCATAGAACAGCTGTTAGATTCAAACCACGTTTCTTGGTATTGACAGAACAACCCCTTAGCCATTAAGCCACCAGAGAAACAATATTTCCGTTTGTTGTTGGTAAGAGCTGTCGAGTATGATTCATAGTGACAGTATGAACAACAGATAGAACCCTGCCCTATCCCATGTCAACCTCACACACTCAAGCCCATTACATTTGCACTTTTCCACCTAGCAGAAGCCAAATGTCCAAAGAAGAAATAGTTATGACTGTAACTATTTTGCTCAGTCCGGAAGCTTCCTTAAGCCCGTAGGACCCTGTAGTTCTAGGCGGTCTCCCATCCAAGACGAACCAGGCCTGACCCTGTTTAGCTTCCGAGATCAGACAAAATCAGGCGCATTCAGGGTGGTGTGCCTGTAGACTAAGAACCTTGTGCTGC